ACTGCAAAACCCACCAAAAGGTATTGCACAGCCCACCTGCGACTCTTTGGTGGGCTGTGCAGAACCTATGCTGGGCCCTGCCAACACAGTCGTCCTCCTACCTGGCACGGTAAACACAGCCCGAGCCTCGGCGACGCCTCCTGCCTCCTCCATCGCGGTCTCTGGTCTTGCATCCTCCGTTTTAGTCTTCGGCCCCACCTCTTCAATCTCCGCCCCTTCTCCCCTGTCTCCGCCCCCTGCCGCTCTGTCTCTTCAGCCTTCACCCTGCCTCTTCCATCTCCGCCCCCATCTCCTCTATCTCCACCCCCTGCCTCCTGCGCTGCCGCTCTGTCCCCGGTCTCCTCCTGCTCCCCCGCCCGCCGCTTCCTCCCCGTTAACATTAGGCAGCCAGGCTGCCGGTTTCTGTGCAGCCCGGCTGCCTAAATGTTTTGGGGGGCCGCCTCGCGGCAGATACACCACTGGGTTATTCACAAAGCTGCTGAAGGCAGCCGAGTGAATAACCCAGCCAAAGTGAAGTGAGCCGAACGCCTTTCGGCTATTCACTTCTGTTCACTACGGCTGACTTCAGCCGTACATCAGCTGCCTTCGGTCAGCTGAACATGCCCTCCATGTTCGGCTGAGCCGAAGTGCAGAAGGAGTTTGATTCAGGTGATCCAACATCTGGATGGGCTGAGCCAAAGCTCCGGCAGCTCACTCACTGCCATTCGCCCCTATTTTCATAGGGGCCGAATGGCAGTGAGTGAATAGCCCAATGCCACCAAGCGGCATTCGGCTCGGCTATTCTGCTCGGTATCTCTGACTTACAAGCAGAATAGAAAATAAGTGAAATTAATAAAAAAAAGTTGAAAAATTGTTTTAAAATGTATGAAAATTAAAAAGAAATTAAAATAGTTTTTAAAAAAAAGAAAAAGAAAAATAATGTTAAAAAACACCAGCAAAAGAAAAACTATTGGGCGGAGCTAGCAGTGACAGCTAGCTCCGCCCAACTATTTCCTATTGGCCAGCATCTGCTAGAGTCTTCAAGCAGGTCCCGGCCAATGAATAACAACTGGGCGGAGCCGGGAGGAGAGAAACCAGGGATGCACCGCGATTTCGGCTGAAAGATGGCACTTTCAGCATTTTGCCAAAAGTGCCATTTTCGACCGATATGTTTCGGCGGCTGAAATTTCGTTGCATCCCTAGCTTTGACGGACGATATTTCAGGCTATTTTAATGAAAGTTCAAACAAAATTCTACTAGAGTATGAGCAGCTTTAAGGAATACTGTTGGTTTAATAAGTTACATTAGTCTACCTTCTGTACATCAGCATTGAAACCCCTCAGCTGGTTGCACTTGATCATCTGATGCAGTAAGGCTTTTGCCACCGATGAATCAATATCTTGGATGTTATCATAGAAGCAGACCAGCAAACCCAGCCTGTAAACAATAGGGGAAAACAACTGTTATGATACATATACAAAAGCAAAGAGTTGTGGCTTTAAAGTGTTTTTGTGCACTTTGTTTTGACATTTTATAACACTTTTAGGACAATGCATTATGGTTGTGCAAAAAACAAGCTCACAACTATAATATTAAACTGTTGTGCTGGCCAATTTCAAGATTTCCTCCCCATATACTTTGGTGGAGTTCAATTTTAATTTTGGTCTTTGCAGACTTCATGGAGGATATGAAGAAACCCCCCACCAATCAAATCTAGGCAGATTCACTCATCCCTAATCATCAGCTGAAATAGAGTTATCTCATGTAAGCTTATTTACACACTATTACAATATTCTAAGACAGGTTAGAACAGTAAAACAGCAATGATGTTCTGTGTAAAAAGAGTTAATTGCAGCATGAGGTGCGTTGCATTGAGCAGCAAAGGCTGTACACCTACAGCTTCCAACAGATGGAAATACAGCAACACAGCACTGCAGGGCATGCAGAAAATGTAAAGAGAACTTGAGGATTTACATAACTGCACTTTAGGTACCCCAGTTTGTTCACAACACATTATGTGCAAGAACTTTTTACCTTTCCGCTTTCGTTTACTCCCGCTTTCCTTTCCATTATCTGTTATTTCCGCTTCTAATAGGATTATTCTACTTTTTTTTAACAAAAGAAGAAAGCAAAACCAGTTTTATTTAAAAAGAGTTGTTAAAGGCTGAATAGCGTTGTCAGAAGTTTTGTATGAGCTCTGTGGAAGCCCTTGGTCACATTTTGTACTAGTTCTCTGACTGAATGTATGATCCAGAACTGAATATGTTCTATTTTTGGATATGTGTGCTTTTCATATTCAAGTTTCAAAGTTTCCTGCTTTGCAGTATAGCACAGTGACCGTATTTCACGGAACCTCTTATCTCAAGGCAAAGCTATGGTCAGGGCTCTGTAAAACACATCCATTGAAAACAACAAACACTAATAAGCTTTTCCTTATTTTTTATCCTTATTTGTATTCCCTATTTTAGTTTACTAAAATTGTTGATTGCATTATCTAACATAGAGAACTAAAGCTGGCCATAGACTTATTTTAGAAGGAATGTTCATACAAAAAAATCTCTTTGAACATTCATTGATGCCATCAGAGACTTTTCAAAGACCAGCTGACGAAAACTACAGGGAGATAAAAGACCAGTCGCCCAGCACAAGGTGAGAACATTAATGATTGGTCTTGTTACAGGAAGCTCCTACATGAAGGCAAATTACATGAGTTGTTTGATGCTGGATTAGTGCACAGACCTGAACTTATGTAACAACAATGTGCCACAAGAATCACTAGCAATGGTCTGAAGCACATCTTAACATCCTCCGGGATGGTGTCACATGGCCCAATCCTTAAGCAATTAGAAACAATGTGGTCCATTGAGTCTGACCCTTTTTTAATTTTTTTTTTAACCTTTCTGTCTGATTATAGATCTATGCTTCTCAAACATGTTTAAATTAATTGTTCTGGCCCACAGGCAGAGATTTGTTGACTAACTTACCTGCCTTATTAAAATCAGCCACAAGATGGTGCTAAGAGAAAATATCTCTATTTACAGCAAAGCAGGCTGTTTTCCTATGGTAGGCTTCCAGCAACCTCTAGCCCACGAAGAAGGGAACAAGTGCATCCTGTGACCTCAGACTTCATTTCGGAACAGAGGAGAGGAGGGTCCAGAGCCATCCTCAGCACATATTTGGAATAAATACACCCAGATTCACCTTATGGTAGCATCGCTGTTAGGGATGGACTTGAATATTTGTGAGCTATCACTTTATTTAAATGTTCATATGCTGATAGTATGTTTTCGTGTTCTTTTTCACCAGTTTAACCCACCCTGTTTTGTTAATAAAGCTTCAAGATTTCATCCATTCTGGCTTATTGCAGAATAGGAGGGTTTAGCTGCATGTTGAGCTGTACACAGGCCATAGGGGTAACGTGTAGTGGGGACAGAACATTCACTTACTGTCGACTGACTCGCTACCTCTGCTGGAAGTCTGTTCCAAGCTTTAATTACCTTTTCAGTAAAATAATACTTTTTAAAGTTGGTTTTGAACTTTCCTCCTGCCAGTTTAAGGTCAAAACTAACTTTAGAAAGCCTTATTTTATCAAAAGAGTAGTTGGTGCTTAAAAACAGACTTCAAGCACAGGTAGTGAGTCAGCCTACAGTAAGTGGATTTAATTATGCTGGAGACAAGCTTAGATCTTTACTCAAACAAAAAGCTTAAAAAAAGAACGTCATAATCACAATTCCAATATTGGCCCTTCTAGATAATGTGGAGTCTGGTCATGTGTGGCCCTTCAAGGTTCCAATAACTAGAACCTGGTCAGTAGACCTGAGAAATTAGACAGCACATCTTAAATATTAGCTGCCGCTTGGTCCTTCCTCCCAAAACGTTATTTCAGTTGTTGGTAGCTGCTAATGGGTTGAATCATTCTCCGACTGTCTAACAAAATATCAATTCTGGGTGTAGTGATCATTGCAAATATAACTTTGAGTTTCATTTATACTTGTTTAAATCAAAATCTGGTTGTTTGTTACAATCTTCATGAACCAGTAAAACATTTTTGCTTTGTCCAGGCATTAAAATCCATAATTTTGTCCCCCCTACATGTGGGCCTGCACTGTTGACCATCATGTCCTGGGTAATGGCACATGGATGTTTGGAGGTCTGCAGATAGTCACTGACTGTCAAAGTCTGTGGAGGAGTATTGGGGAGAAGATCATGGATTCTCAAGCCTGGTCAAGGACTGCTTGAGAGCACAGGAAACACACTGGGATGTTTTACCTGTATATTGTGGAGATGTTTCTCATATCAAACCCTGATGAGTTTATAAGTTCCAGGAATGCTTTAGCAAGATCTTCTGTGATATCATACACTGTATCCAGCTGCTTTGTGGCATTGTCATAACTAATAAAAACACGGATCTAGGTACAGAGTAAAGTGTCACACATATTAGTTCTAGAATAAGCCGTAGCATATAAAATGTTTCATTGTCTTAGAAAAAGCCCTCAATGTAAACATATTTTAAGACAGCTTGCTGACTGCACATTAATGATCTGAAGCAACAGCTATGTTTGTTGACTCCATAAGTCAACAGAAACATGAAAGAACCTAATTGGTTGGCAACTTGGCACTCTACTCATTTATCTTCTATCTATCTATCTATCTATCTATCTATCTATCTATCTATCTATCTATCTATCTATCTATCTATCTATCATGCTTAAAAAAGAGCAGGAACATTCTTAAAGGACAGGTGGAAAGAGTAGAATGATGACTCAATACTGTACTCCTTCATTGAACATTTAGCAGACTTGGAGTTTTGGACCACAAAACTGGCTAAATATTTTATAAATACTTACAAATGTGAAACACTTTGGCAAGTGAAACCATAATATGTTTATGGTTTCACTTGCCAAACCATAAGTGAAAGTGCTGTTCATCTGAAGTTCAACTTTAAGCACCGTGCAGGCATCAGTGATCTGGCTGCTGACTAATGCATGAATTGGCCACAGAGGAATCTTTCCAATGAAAAGTTGTGGTACAAACATGAACTGTTGCATTGATTGCTGCTGTCTATGGAGGGAAGAGTGTGGGGGGGGTGTGCTTGTCCCTGGCACTGCCCTTTCTCAGGGGAAAAGGCTAGAAATGGCTGGAAAATATCAAACAATGCCAGTCAGCTCCTAAGCTTGGGAAGACATGTCTGCCATAAGTGGGCAGGGCTGACAGACCTATAAATGCTCCCTGTCGCTTCCATTAAAAACTCACATTTTCTGATACCTGCAAATACCTAAGCGCCGAAAAAAAAATTGTCCCATTAACCCTAGAGTGATAAGAAGTGACTCTTAGTTATAACCCATGTCTCACACCCTATCAGCCTATTCTGCTATTATGGACTTGTAGCCTCTATATAGATGAATATATGTGCTACTGTGTAGATCAGTATTTTTGACTGCAAACAATTAATTGCCTCTGTGTGTAAAGAGAGGCGGAGATTTATGGGGATTGCAGTGCAGAGCAGATATGGATACACTGCTGAAAGGACCTGGAGAACTGCAACTCCCAGGATACTGTGCGAGAGGGAGGGGGATGCCTATGGACTGTGAGGGCTGAGCACTCGCAGTCTGCAACCCGTACCTGAAGTGTCCGGATCGATGTGAGGCCATGTGAGTTAAAACTGCATGTAGCAGAGTGTGTGGTCACCCTTGAGAGACAGAGACACACAGGCTCTGTGCTGCAGTGCTTGAGAGACAGTTGTTCGCCTGTGGAGATGAAGAGATGGAGATCGGGCACCTGAACGGAGGCCTAGTGACGCGTCAGCGGCGGGGATATTGCGGCCTGGTCGTGTGGCCGATCCAGCCACTGGAGTGACCCAGCCAGCCCAGCAGAGTGAGTGGAATCGAGTGGAGATCATTACCGGAGGCCTTAGATGACCATAGATGTGCGGTGATGTGTTTCAAGAAACCCTAGACAAGTGGTGATGAGCTGCAAGAGACCCTAGATGACCCCATCTCCTTCCTGTCGTTCCTCCAAAAGAGGGACGACTATACAGCTGCTGAAAGACATCACCTTGTGCAGGACAACCCTGGGAGTGGTGAGAGGCCTATGGCAAATGTACTTTTACACATTTGCTACACAGTATGGGCCCCAACGTTGGCTAGCCTAGGACATTACTACTGGCCAGTAGTCTAGAGGGGTGTGATACTTCCAAAGGGAGATATTATTGTTTGATTCCTCTACTCCTAGATTTACTCCTGAGACAGTCTGACATCACAGGTCTCTGTATAGGCAATAGATAGCCACAGTCACTGGATGCCAGAGTACATTGTTCTACCACTTATTGTATAGTGTGCAATTGATATGTTATTCAGATCCTTATTTTGTGTTAGCCAGCCATTAAATCCTTTACAAAAACTCTACAAAGGTGTGTTGGTGTGCTGTGGATCCACCAATTGGGCGGTACATTGGTGCAGAAGGGACAGAAAGACCCGCTACACTAGCGGCTCCTACGGGGGTAGCGCTACAGACTCAATAGATAAAGTATAGGGATTCAGATTCTGCATCTTTGTGCTGCTTTCCATTGTGTCCTTATATTTAGGAATTAGTTGAGGGACCATGGGCAAAAGCCCTTGTGTCATGCTGTTACTAGGTGGTGCTGCCTCAAACACAGTCTAACCTTCTATCAGGACAGAAAAGGCTTGTGTGGATGGTGCTACAATATAATAATATAGCCAGACCTCAAATAAATACCGTCCACACTATATTTCTAAGAATATTGACTTGCTTTTAAGATGTAATCATTATTGAGCTGCCTCTGGAACTTGTATCGTCAATCTAATTGCATTTATGTTTATTCTGTATGCATCTTTAATAGGGTGTTATGCTGTCACTCAGTGGTCACTATCTAGTACACTGAATTTCTTGTCTGTGAATCCACCCAACAGTTTGTGATGTAGTTTTCTTCTTGCTCAATGTTAGTGATTGCCTTTCTTCCTGTAAGACATGCAACCAAGATTGCAAGTTCCTTGTGGCCTCCGAATACTTATTTCTACCACATCATCTTTCTATCCGCTTGATCTACCTGCATACAATAAATATATTTGTGGATGCCAAATATTTGGGCTATTTGACAAAAAGATTGTCCACAATGCTTGTCCCTACTAGGGTGAGACATAAAGGTTTGTAAGTCAGATTTGAAGTCAGATTGTCAAATTAATGATTTCATTTAATTTAATTAATGAAGTTGAAGTTCAAAAATAAAACACATAAAAAAAAAAATATATTTATCTTTCACTTACCGCATTGATATTTATCTTCTTGATTTCATGCAGTGGTAGAAGAACCATAAGTCGGCCCAATATCCAGAGGCTCTCTGCAGTTACCCATGATGATGATCCATTGACATCTGTAATCATAGATTAGATTTCTACACTAAAATGATAACTACTTCCCTGACATCCATGACATTGCCTCCTGTAAACTTGGCACTGCAAGGGTCTAGCCAGTCTTACATTCTGGAATATCCATCACTGTAGTACATCCTGGAAAATGCCAAGACTTGGGAACAGTTGAACCTTTAGAGCTTAGCAATGGCAGCACCGAGGAACACCCCCAGGGTATTGCATAATGCAATGCAGGGTACCTCTTAATACATTGTTGAAGCCCATAGGAGCATACTTTGAATTTATTGTAGAGTTCAACTCACGGTAACACTGAGATAGTAATCCCTTCGGACCACCTCCTAGGTTTGGTGCTCCTACACCTCAACTTGCAGTATTTATGATTTGTCAGTAGGAATATTCTCCATAGAAATGTTAACCATATACAACTGAAGGGACTCCTTATCTGTAATTTAGTATACAACCCCAATTCCAAAAAAGTTGGGACGCCATGTAAAATCTACATAAAAACAGAATGCAATGATGATGATAGAAAATAGAAAGCATATCAAAGGTTTAAACTGAGAAAATGTACCATTTTTGTAAAAAAATAAAGTAACTTTGAAATTGATGGCAACAACAGGTCTCAAAAAATTTGTGTCAAACAATTTCAGAATAATGTTCCTCAATGTAAAATTGCAAAGATTTTAAATATATCATCATCTACAGTACATAATATCTCCAAAATACTGGTATTGGGATGCATTAGTGTGTATAGAATGGGCAGCTTGCACATCTGGAATGGCACCATCAATGCTGAAAGACATATCCAGGTTTTAGAGCAGCATATTCTCCCATCATGACAATGTCTTTTTCTGGCCTTGCATATTTCAGCAGGACAATGCTAAACCGCGTTAGATGCATGGCTTCATAGTAGAAGAGTCTGGTTGCTTAACTGGCTTGCCTATAGTCCAGACCTTTTACCAATTGAAAATATTTGGCGCATCTTGAAACAAAAATATCACAAAGAAGACCCAGAACTGTTGAGCAGTTAGAATCCTGTATCAGGCAAGAATGGGACAACATTCCTCTCCCAAAACTCCAGCAAATGGTCTCCTCAGTTCCCAGATCTTTACAGAGTGTTGTTAAACTAAGAGGGGATGCTACACTGTGGTAAACATGACCCTGTCCCAACTTTTTTAGACGTGTTGCTGCCATCACTTTCAAAATTACTTTTTTTTTTTCTTAAAATTGTAAATTTTCTCAGTTTAAACATTTAATATGTTTTCTATTTTCTATTGTGAATAAAATATGAGTTTATAACATTTGCAAATCATTGCATTCTGTTTTTATGTATATTTACCACAGTGTCCCAACTTTTTCAGCATTGGGGTTGTAGTTGATACTGCTATTGTTTCCTAGTTAGGCTTTTGAAATGGTAAAGTTCATTCAAATTATGATAAATATGGGTCTGCTTTTGCTTAACTCATTTGGAAAATTGTTGTTCCCTGGCTAATCTGTTGAGCTTCTGGCTAGAGTACTTCTGAGTTACAGAACAAGTATTCATATTAGGCATAAACAGGCATTTTTATACAGTATATTCATTATTCATATTAGGGTTGTCAGCATATACTCAGAAGTCTATATACACATACTTGTTCTGGGTTAGCGACCTAAAGGAGAACTATGAGGCGAGTGAAAATGCCTATTACTTGCTAACAAGGAAAATAGTAATGAAGGCTGTAGCACAAATGCAAGGGGTTAAAAGGGGCAACTGTACCTGGTTCCATAAGGTCAGTGTACCCTATTATAACTTATCCTGACCTTATTATTCTCCTGTATACTCACACTGCATTCTGAACAAAACTAAATCACTTTTCTTTACCTTACCTTTTGTTTATTCTCTTTTTGTCATCTGATGCGTGAGTCTCAAGCATTCTAATTTTCCTGAACTTAACCTGGCATAAAATGTTTCTAAGGTAAACCTAGAATATAAAGATCCTCTTGTGATAGAATTTCTTATTTAAAATATTTTAGCTCCTCTTTTGTTTATGTAACCAATGTTGCTACATAGGGCACATGGCCAGCTGAGCACATATGATGTCAGCAGCTACCTTCTATGCCAGAGAGCTGCCACTTCTTGCCAAGTCTCCCTCTGAGACTCCTGAACAGCATTGTCACATGTATGGAGAGAGCTTCTTCTGCACGTTAGTGTGCCGATAAATTGCTCTTGGAAGCAACGTGCGCCACTAATTTCTGTAGCGGCAGCAGGGGAGGAGCAATGTGGCACAACCACTAACCTCATTTATAGTTGGTCTGTTTTTTTAAATAATTAGTTCTTAGTTACTCTGAATTGCTGTAATACCAATGGCAGAAAAGGATGAGTTTTTAAGGTCTATAATGTGGTTGTGTTTTATGGCCAATTTAGATGAAAGAGGAAAATAATGTTTAGTAGAGTTCTTTAATGGAGTTCTTATTTAAAGTGGCACTAAACTCCGAAGTTAACAATTAACAAAAATGTACCTTATTTGTGTATCACTCAGCTGTAGATCCTCAAATCCTCTCTGAATTGATGCTGACACTGTCCTAATTTGTGTTGACACTGTCCTTACTTCTGGAGGGTGGCTACTTTTGTTCCCCATGGTCCCTGTATGTGTTGTAAAGTAGCCACCGCTCCAAGCTCACTCATGAGATGGACTACAATCTCACATTTAGTTTACTAATTTGTACTGAGATTGAAGTCTATCACGAGAGCAAGCTTGGAGTGGTAGCTACTTTACAACACACATAGGTACCATGGGAAACAAAAGTAGTAGTAAGGACAGTGTCCGCACATTACATTTTTAAGGTTTAACTCCCTAATTTAGTGTCACTTTAAATCTATGAGCTGAATGAAGGTACTTAAAGGTTCTTAAAGTGACATTAAACCCTCAGATTTTTTAACATAAACCAATACTGTAATGTGTGCCTTACTGTAATCCATGGTAGTTTCCCTTCTCTTTACTGCTCTTCCTTTTTAAATCTCATGTCTTCTCATGCTTGGGGAGAACTTCTCTTTGCAGCTGAGTGCCTCTTCCTGTAGTGCTGGCTCAGGCTGTGAACCTACACACAGACACTGTGTATCCATTCCAGAGACAAGGCAGTCTGCTGCAAAACAGAAGTTCTGCCCAGCATGAGAACAGATACAGATTTAAAAGGAAGAGCAGCAAAGAGAAGGGAAACAACTATGGATTACAGTAAGGCACAAATTACAGTATTGTTTTATGTTAAAAAATCTGAGGGTTTAATGTCACTTTAAGTCCTGTAGAGCATCGCGAGAGCCCTGAAAAGGGAGAGTTTCAGTAGTCACCAGCTCTAGCTGCCCCTTGCCTCAATCCCATATTTAAGTATTGGCAAGTGTGGCTGTTTATCACAGTAATGAACAAACACTAAGGAGAGGGAGGCGGAAGAGGGTGGACCGAAGCCAACAGCTACAGGAGCTGGTCGCTACTTGCAAAGGAGTATGCCCTTGTTTTTCTTGGGCCCTCTACAGGGCATCAGAAAGAATGTGTGGGCACCTGGAAGTGTATTTAAAATACTTTAAGCGAAAAGCACATACAAATATTACAAACAGCGCTCTCGGATTGGGCCAAGGGAATAGGGTACTGTAGTTCTACCTCGCCTGCAGCCCTAGGAGACAGGAGGAGTGCCTGCACTTGTGGAACAAAAAACAAACGTGAGGGCGCGAGGCTAGGAGTTTAAAATACTTTAAGTGGCATTTAACACTTTTTTAAGTGCACTGGTTTAGTTTAATTTTCATTGAAGTTCAGCATTAGAAAACTATAGTCACAGTATAAAGTAAACTTTGATGTTTAGATAGTGCTGTATGTTACAAGCTTAGACGGCTCAGCAGCAAAGTGTCTGTAGAAATGATTTAAAAATGATGCCAACTATATATATAATGCATAAACTTCACAGAAGCAAATGAAGATGAATGTACAATTCCATTTGCCCCTGATGTAATTGTATCTTCAAGTGAGGTTCTGTACATGGTAAGGGAGACGCCGCTGTCCTGAGATGCTCTCTCTTTTTCTAACAGGTGTGTCCTGCAATGGTGGTAAGTCAGACACAACCTGCTCCACTGATTCTCACTTTCCATTCACTGGCTATCCTGTTACGGCCCTGATGCTGATATCTGTAGATCAAACGTTCTCCTTTCCTTTGATCTAGCTTGTTAGTGCAGTGTTAGTACTTCCCACTCACAATACACGGGGTAGGATTTTTGAAGGGTCTGAGTCATCCACTCATACACAGCTCTTTGGTTGGTAGCTGTCATTTTATCGTACAGATCTCTAAACACAGATGACCTAGACAAACAATGACATAAAGAATAGATTCATAAATAAAGGCATGTGTGCTTTGATTGGGAAGCTGAATCACGAATACAATTTAAAGATAAACTTGCACAAAATTTCTCATTGAAATATATATTAATAATTTTAATATTGGAAAAGGTGCAGAAAAATTAAGAACATATGTTACATAAAAGAGACAAATAATACAACAGCAAAACAAAAAAGGAATGAGAATGAAACTTAACAAAATCCTGATTTCTATGGGTTCTAGCAGAGTCCAGTCAATGAAAGAGAAAATGTATCTGAGATTGGCTCGCTAGAAACAAATCTCTTGGCAGATGTTCTTTTCATGATGGTAAAGTAGAGCTCCAAGTGCCTTGTGCAGCAGCTTTTTGTGGGCCCCCTAGAGGGTGCCACTGAGCTGGCTCCCCACCCAATTAGAAAGGCCCAGGGGTGTGAAACAGGAGAGCTGAAGTGCTTTATGATCTTTCACCTGGCTCTCACGTAATGTTAGTTTTCTAAATGCAGACATATTTGTCCACACGCTACCATCTGATAACCCATCAATTGTTGTACATTATTAAATTAGCTTTTTATACTCACCAGATGTGACATAACTTTGGAATAGGGCTCCCTCAGAAGGGGTAATGTGTATCTTTGGCACGCTTTACCTCCTAAGCTAGGTTGATCGGTATATACTGACCAATGTTTCATGATACAGATATATATTTTAAAGCAGAACTCCAACCTCCTTACAGCCAAGGAAGGTGCCATCTTAGCCTCTAATTGAATTGCAGTTGCCATTAGCCATTTAAGGGCTGGAAAGTTTGGTTGAGAGCTGAAATAATAACACTGCCAACCTTGACAGTTGGCATGCTATGAAAGTACCTGTTTTGGGAGACCATTAAATTGATTGGAAAAGTTGGTGGGTTTAAGTCACTGACCCAAAGTATTCACATAAGGACTTCTGACTTTTGTCTGACTGCCATGTTTCATATTCCAGGTCAGTGACTGAAAGTACTGAACCAACATACTTGGCAGCCCCCATATTTGTTTTATGATGGTTTACTTATGAAAATATGCTTATCATGCAGCAATCTAGCCCCCTCCATGTGAAAATGCTAACTGAATTTTTTTTTAAACCACATGGTTAAAAATGTAAAAAATGCTCTCAATACATTAGTGATTCCAGAATGCTCGTCTGGATGAGGGTAATATCGCTGGGCCTTGTTAAGTGATCCTGAGAAAGATTATGGTTCCATATCTCACAAGAATGGGTTCCTGCACAGTGCTGGAACATCTTCCTGTGAGATTGTGAATCCTCTACTTTCCCGGGATCCCATGGTGAGGCCCAGTGACCTCAGTGGTGCATATAGAAAGCAGGATAATTTATTTATTTATTTTGCATTTTTGTTCATTTTTAGTTTCTTTCTCTTAGCATTTTACGTAGGGGGATGCAAGATAAGTGGACCTTACATTTACATGCAAGTCCGTCTTTATAAATGACTATTCTTGATTCTTGCATAATCCCAAACCACCTGCTATTTCTATAGTTTATGACATTTTTTTTTCTAAAATAAGTCTTCATAGAAACAATAGAACTTTCAAATCCATCCAATGTGGAAAACACTTATTTACATATGGAATCATAGAGAGTGATACAGTAGAATGAGTGTAGTGGGTCATATAGCTAAGACCTGTACACCATGTTTAAAGGATACGATAAAACAATAGTATGTACTAGATAATAGTGCCATATGGGCTTTGCACTTACAGGTTTCGGAAAGGGTCATCTAATATTTCAGTTGGCAATTTTACTATCATATTTGTGTCCAGGTATATCTCTCCGTACATACGTAGAATCCTTCCCAGTATTTCTACACAGTCTGTTGAGTGCAGAGCATGAAGGCATTTCTGGTAGGTGAGGAGGAATAATGTGCGATTTCCTATGGGGCACTGAAACACCTTATCTCTCATAGCTTCAAAATCCAGAAAAATACTGATTTCCTGGAACAGAAAACACAGAGAACAGTTGACACTGGCAGTGCATTGAATTGTTTTTGCTAGAGCAGGGAAGGATTAGACACTCTGCCAAGTTTTTATTGGTGTCTGTTCAACCATCAGGAAGAATTACCCTCTATATGTATTAGTGATCCTTGTCACCAAGAAAGAAAATGAGGGGACAAACCTGCCAGGGATTTTAACATTTCCCTACTCTATCCAAAACTTTAAAAAAATATTTTGGCTATGCATACACTTTTCCAAAATGTATATGCTCAGGCAAAACACCAAGGGGTGAGACACCTTAAGGTCTATATATAAACAATGCACAGAGCCATTCGACCTTCGAATCTTTCTGAACGCTCATTCTGTGAGAATAGATGAAAAAACGAACATTCTTAGAAATATTTTCTTTTCAAGTGGAATTTATGACATATAATAATGCATTGTAGCTACTAAATGGAGCTAAGGAGCATAGGAAATAAGTATTTATTTCCTATACTTCTCATAATGCAGTAAATTGGCCCTCGTGTGTATGTATGTGAGGTAAGGACCTTAGATTGTAAGCTCCTTGAAGGCAGAGACTGATGTGAATGTGCAGTATGTAAAGCGCTGCATAAACTGTCAGCGCTATATAAATAACTGTAATAAATAAATACCGGTACATAAATAAATATTACATAACATACTTTCAACCAAAAAACTCTCTCTCCCCCTCTCCCCCTCTCTCTCCCCCTCTCTCTCCCCATTTTTGTGTCTATTTGCTCAGAATGAATATTCTGAACGTTTTTCAGAGCTAATGGCTCTACAAATTATTTATAAATAGACCCTATTGTGTGACATATTACTACAACATTACAGCTTGATTTATAAATTCTACCCTCAACTGCTCTAAGCTTGCACCGCTACAGAATGAAACCTGTCCTTGACCACTTCCTAATGATGCATCTGTTTAGAGGGAAACTCTGTCTCATCTATAGTAAGAAATCTGTTTCAGAGCTATGCAAATCTGTCTGCAGTTGACTTCCCAGGATTCCAGTTGCATAGAATTTGCTAAGTATGGGGCAGTCTGATTTTAGGTTAATAGTGTCACTAATTGGCTTTTGCATTGCATTTTGCATTTTTTGTCATTTTGTTTTAATACATCTAATTTTAGAGTGTACCTGTCACCTCTGTATAGTGTAGGCTGTAATAACATTGAGGAGTATCAGAGGCATTCATGTCTGACTCAATAGGGAGCATGTTGGACCACTGCAAAGAGACCACTGCTTCCCCACAGAGAGAAAGGTTCACACTGCACTCTGCAGCTGCTGGCAGGGGACAGGCTTTTCTACTCAGACTGCCTCTGCCTTAGAAAGAAAATGACATGTAAGACATTAAACACCTTTTGTTTTAATGCAACTGGTACAATTTAGCTGATTTAAACTGAAGGTTCTGCTGCTATCCGAAACCTCTGGGTGTATCAGATATCGCGGCCCCTTCTGGTTCCTTTTGCCAGCTGCTATGTCACTCCAAGACACAGTAGTGATGTAGAATTCATCAGAAGGAACCACAGTTTAAAGTTGGGGGGGCATTATCTAACATGCCCTGAAGTATTGCATAGCAGCAGTGCCTAGAGTTCTTCAAAAGATAAACAGATCAAACCACATCAGCTGGAAAGGTAAGTATATGCCTTCTTCTGTTATGGGTAGGGGCTATTTTAATTTTTTTAACATAGCAACGGGGTCACTCCGAGTAAGACAGCAGATCAAATTCTTCCATACGGCTTAAGGAGGACCGTATAATGACAGGCAGTGGCGTAACAACCGCCATAGCGACCCAGGTGGCCGCTATGGGGCCCGGGCATAGGGGGGCCCGGCCAGGGCTTCCCTCTGATGCTGTGTGGGCCGCCTGGGTCGCTATGGCATGTAAGGGTGCTGGCTGTCACTGACACAGCTTAGCAGCGGCTGTGAAGATCACTGACAACCTGTCAGTGATGTGTGCAGCGGCCGCGGTGTGTTTCCCCTCACAGCCACTGCGGAACTGTGTCAGTGACAGCCAGCATCTGCGGCAGAAGAGGCCTGCTTTCGCAGTGAAGGAGGAGGCGGGGCCCGCCTAAGAGCAACCCTGCCTCCTCTTACATCACTGGCCAGCAACCTAAGAACAGGCGGGGCCCATCGATAGAAGAGGAGGCAGGGCCCGGGGACGGAAGAGGAGGCGGGGCCCGGCGACCACGGAGGTGGACATCGCTGACAGGTAAGAGGTGTGCAGCCCATCTGAGACCCTGCAGAGCCCACTATAGAGGTCAATCTCAGGTGGGCTGTTTGGTATATCAGGTGGGCTCTGCAAGTGGCATAACTAGCAATCATGGGGGCCCTATACAAAATTTTGCCATGGGGCCCTGTGATTTCTAGTTACGCCCCTTATGACAGGGAACATAAATGGTCTAACACAGCCTTTCTCAACCAGGTTGTCGTGGCACCCTGGGCCTGGGATGCCTTCCGGTTTCCTTGGGGGTGCCTACAAATTTTGTGGTGGTAAGGCTCTGATGTGAAAGAGGGGGTTCTAATATGTGAAGGGGGTCTACAGTTGTAAAGGGGGACTATAATGTGAAAGGGGGGATTCTGATGTGAAAAGGGGCTCTGATGTGAAGAGGGTTCCTAATTTGAAGGGGGTACTTTATTGTGAAGGGGGAACCCCACTTTTTTGTGTGTTTGTGCATGGGGTCCCCTCTTAAAATCCATTACATTTTAGACTGGGATTACTCGAGATTTTTAAAGAGTGCCGTGACTGAAGAAATGTTGAGAAATGTTGGTCTAACACAGCTCATCCCTCCGATGAGCCTCATTTAGCTGCTGTAGTAACTCAAACATGTTCAGTAAGCAATGTGTTCTGGCATACCTCAGTAAAGTCGTCTTTATTCCCTGTGAGCAGATATTTCATAGCAAGAGGAAATAATTGGTGATCAAGTTGTTGTAGTTCTGATAGAAGATACTCTGGGTCTCCAGTGATTTGTGTGATGTAATTTTGTACAGAAAGCTTCAATAAAAAGAAGAGAAATACTTTTCATACCAGGTCTTGTTTTATGACTTGATCATGGTAAAACATCACTGATAATTTACCGTATACGTCAGTAGCCTAGGAAGTGATTTTATGGATGTTTTGTTCCTTCCTAAGCCGCTCTCAGCCTAATGCTGAATGCAGCACGCATGACAGTCACAGTCCCTGGTACTATATATTTAATTATGTTCTCTAAAAAAAAATTTACATTTTGTTTTAAAATTCAAACTATTTTAAGTATCAAAGAGCATCTTTGTTCACAGTTACAGTAATCGTATAAAAAACATAGAGAACAAATGTTTAATAAAATAAAGAACCGGAACTTTGATAATCTCTCTTGTGCTTTTGTTACATACATGCATTCTAAAAACACATTGCCAAGTTCACATATACTGAGTGAAGGGAGTTACCATTTTAGGGTTGGGAAGGTCACCCTGAACATAAAGTAGAGTAGAATAACCCCATAGGTCCCCGGTTTTATGGAATTTGGGGGTCATTTTGTAAGAAAAGGAATAATCTGATTAACCAATGTCTACAGTAGGGGAATATGTGCTTTTTATGCCATAAACAAAGTTTCTCACAATAATGAGAAATAATTTCTAGTATAGTGTGGCCAATGTTCTTCATCTAGTATACCAAATAAACAAACATCACTTGTACTGGAAAGAGGGAGTTGTACTAAGATGATAACTACTGGCTGGCAGAAGTCAAATATAATCTGACAATCCCAAATGAGGAGCATGAAATCTGCCCGGAGTTCATTACTTTGTATAAAGTTGGTTTGGGCCGTATGTCGAATGGAAGATACTGTAGGTATGTTTGGTGTATAATATATAGTACAATTGAATTAATCTATTATTATCTGCTGGTGAGACTAACATATGAGAGGAGCATATATCATCCCATTCCTCTGTAGACATAGTAGGTAAGGTCTGCCAGTTAGATTTAAAGAGGAACTTTACTCATATCTTTGAAATAACAACAAACACACCTTTAGGGATGTTTAGTAATGGTAATCTGCAAACAGATACTTCTAGATAATTGCAAGCTTTTAATTATTTGCATACCATATTTTTCTTTTCTTCCCCAATCTTCTCAGTGGCCATTTTTACTAAGGACAGATTAATCCATCTCCCTTCACTTCTCACTTCCTGTCACTCTGGCACATGTGACTAGGACATGTGATCATGCACATCATCTCAGGGGAGGAAAATGGCTTTCTGTGAGATCTCATGAGATTAGATTTCTCAGCAATGCTCTGCTGATGTAACCTTCCCGGGATGCAATGCTTGGGCACATTACATCACTAATGTCCAAGATGACCAGAAAGTGAAAAAACAATCATTGTAAGTAAAAGAAATATAAGTTTGTTTATATAATGAATGTAAGATGATTTCATATCAACATGCAGAGCTGCATGCTGAGGTGATTTTTAGTGAAAGGGGATAAAGGTTCACTTTAATAGCCAGTGGAGTTTTTCCCAGCTTGGTGTGTGGATGTTCCACATTGTTACATTCATCTTGTGTCATGACTGCATTAAGTACGATCATATATGATGTATCATCACTACAGGGTACAAGTTTTTTAGTGAATTGAACTGGCTACTCTCTGTAAATTTCTTCAGATAAAAAACTCCCCTTGCAGTGGTGCTACCCTTGCACTGAAAGGGTTAACTGCTCTTTTGTCTAGGGGCATCCTTTAGGCCTCATTCACACACAACACAAGCAAAATTGTATATTGCGTATATACGAGCGTCTATGCGCGTATATACGAGCGTATGTGCCTATATGCGTGCACTATTTGCATTCCCAGAATGCATCATTCCTAATGGAAATTTTAATGAACTGTACGCATATACGCGCGTATACACGCGCAAACATGCGTATGCGCGTAAAATACACAGAAATACGCTGCCCGGACGCATCTCGGTTACATTCTGTTTTTGCGCATATATACGCAGCTATGTGTATGGAGCCATTTATTTGCATATGTTGCATATGGTACAATATGCACGTACGCGCGGCAGTGTGAATGAGGCCTTAAAGCAGTTTTACTTACCTGATCCCAACTAGCTCTAGCGCCAAGGCTGGCTCCATCAGCCTCTTCCCCCTCCGCTCCAGCAGTCAGAGGCCCGCTGACATCATCAAGTCTAATACAGTGTGCATAGCTCAGACAGAGGACTCTGAGGGACAGAGAGAGGTGAGAAAATCTGCTTTAAAGAATTCCCCTAGACAAAAACAAGCAGTTAACCCTTGCAGTGCGGGGTTGCATCACCTGTGTAGAGGCAGGGCCAGCTGTGCCCACCCCCTCCCCTGTCTGTCCCTCCAGTCAGGGCTGGAGGAAATGAGAGGGGAGGGCTGAATCCCTGTTAGGAGCAGTGACCGTCAGTCACCGATCTCTGCGGGTTGATAATGGGGAACTGAGCAATCAGCGGTATGTGATCGCTCATTTCTCAATCAAAAGTGCCGACATGTGACAGCTTCAGTGTCACACGTCAGCTCTGATTATGCGGATGAGTGTATTTTACTCTGAACAGATATCCTTAATCATCCATATTGAATGATGGTCAGCATCATTCAACCCACTTTCCTTTCAGTTCGGGCTGTCATGGACCTTCTGGACAATGCAGGGGAAATGGCACAGTGATGAGCTAATCTCTCTCTTTTCTTTCTGTCAGTGTGCTCCTTGCCAGCATACAAACTGACTGCTTCCTTGTCATGCTTCTTCTTCTCCCACTCTGGGCTCGGCTGTACAGGAACTTTAAGAGGCTGATGCTAAGGCAAATTCACGTACATGGCTTGTATTTAGATAACACATGATGTATTAATGAACTGCATTCATTCATGTCTTCTATATCTGCCTAAAGTTACGCTTTGAATATATTGCTTCAGTTTTTGTGCATCGTAAAAGAAATTAGAAGAAGCTGCGCTAAACTGACGAGAACTAGCCAGGAAGTCACATAGCCAGATCTACTCCACTTTTCTTGATCAAAGTGATGATCTTGATGAACAAGTTGTTGGTACTCTGGAGTTACCTGGAGGTCCCCAATTTCTTGTATATTTTGTAAAAACAGGTAAACTTTGATTTTGTCTTTCAGATCGGATGTCCATGTATTGGGGCTACAAAGAGAGAGCTAATATCAGCTTTCTGTAATGGAAATGATTATATCAAACATTTATACTTTACATTTATTCAATAAACGCAAGCTAAAGCACAACTCCATCCAACCCAATTTTTGGACAATAGGGAGGGGTAAAAATTTCAAACACTTTTTATGTCCCCTATGCCTATGTTCCCATTTGGAAGATTTCTGCTCAGAACATGTCTATATGATTGCTATCTGATAGGGAAGAAGGTGAGGGAAAATCTCACCACTTCCTGTCTATCTGACAGATCTCAGACAGAACAGGGAGTGACGGGAATTTAATTTGTAACATATCTAATATACTCTTGGATAGGACTGTCTATATTTATCTGTCTATCTATCTCTATTGAACTTCCAGGTTTATGCCTATCAGGCCTGTTTTCCTTTCCCAGCAACCAGGCTTCCAGGGGCGTAACTAGAAATCACAGGGCCCCATAGCAAAATTATGTATGGGGCTCCTTGATTGCTAGTTATGCCACTTGCAGAGCACACCAAATATACCAAACAGCCCACCTGAGAGTGACCCTGCAGAGCCCACCATAGACTCTCTATAGTGGGCTCTGCATGGTCTCAGATGGGGTGCACACCTCTTACCTGTCAGCGCTGTCCACGTTCTGTGGTCGCCGGGCCCCGCCTCCTCTTCCGTCCCCGGGCCCCGCCTCCTCTTCTATCTGCCTCCTCTTACATCACTGGCCCCACCTGCTCTTAGGTCGCTGGCCAGAGATGTAAGAGGAGGCTGGGGTTGCTCTAAGGTGGGCCCCGCCTCCTCCTTGACTGTGAACGCTGGCCTCTTCTGCCGTAGCTGCTGGCTGTCACTGACACAGCTCCGCAGCGGCTGTGAGGAGAAACTCCACTGCTTAGCTGTGTCAGTGACAGCCAGCACCCTTACATGCCATAGCAACCCAGGCGGCCCACACGGCATCAAAGGGATGCCCTGGCCGGGCCCCCTGTGCCCGGGCCCATTGTGGCCGACTGGGTCGCTATGGCGATTGTTACGCCACTGCAGGCTTCCATGGTCAAGAGCCTGGCTCTCCCCCCTCCCATCTGCTAACCCTTAGTATTATGATGGCTGGCCTCAATGGCCAATTGGAAGGCAAGTGATCCAGGCTGTCAACTCATTTGAAAGATCTGGCTGTATCGAGAGACAGTACAATTTTATTTCCCTCATTGAGTTTAACTGCAGGGACAATATCTTACCAATGATCTTTGTAATTTAGTAATGAAATCAGATGGAAGTACTTTGGCAAGGCAACATTTTTACCTGGTTACCAGGGTGAATGATTCTGTGAATTGTTAAATAGATCCCATAGTGTGCCAAAGCATTTATTATCACCAGGATAGAGATCATTGTGTCACAAGTGCATTTTTAGGGGCATATTTATAAAGCAGTGGATGTGGATGGATGGAAATTCATTAAAGTGGATGGAAGTTCAGAAAAAAATTTTAATTTTCGTTTTGTTTTGCATGTTTCGTTATTTTATTTTTCGAGTTACAAGATCACAACCATCCATAATTCATTGCAGAAAAGTGTAATTACATGTTTTAATTGCTTCTTTTTAATTTCTGACACCACAAAAAAAAACCAGCATTGGGTCCCCCCCCAATTAATATCAGACCCTTTAGGTCTGGTAGGAATGTTAGAGGGGATACCTGATGAAAAAGAAAAAACAGCGTGCGGTTTCCTGGCACAATACCAGTCATGTGGCCTGGTATGGTGGAGGGAGGGGGGCCGCTCTCTCGTCCCCCGCTTTCCTGCCCTACCAGGCTGCTGCCAGAATTAAGGGTCTGGTTTAGGATTTTAGGGTGGGGGGGGGGGGTTTTTATATTGGA